GGCGCTCTGCCAGGCGCCCGAATTAAACTGCGGCGCAGCGCGCACAGGCAACGCCGTGCTGCTCACAAAGTCCGACCAGTCATCCTCTTTTTGGGACGCAGCTGTGATTGGTGGGGCCTTTCGTGCTCTCTGCACATTTAACACATTATTGTTGTGGTTGTTTTGTTGCTGCTGTTGCACGGGCACGGAAACAAAATCGGACCACTCATCATCCTCGTGATGTTGCTTCTGTTGCTGCTTGGGTGACTGTTGTGCCACGCTGGCACTTATCGTTGGGGGCTTGAACTGATGCGAGAATAGCTCCTCGATGCGCGCCAATTCCTCGGCATTGATGCTGGCCAGCGCATTGTCGCCCCACTCAATGCTGGGCTTGGCCAATGGAATTGTCTGTGGCAACAGTATGGCCGGACTGAGTATCATTTGCTCCCCGAATGTGGGTGTGCCGTTACGTGGCGGCTGCAAATGGGCGGCGTTTTTGACGGCGGGTACAGACTGAAAATCACTGAAATCATCATCCTCTGTTGTTGGTTTGCCCGAGGCGCTCAGCTTGCTGGGTGAGTCGAGACCGTAGGGCGGTGGCTTGTACTCCACATCGCGATATTCCTTCTTGACAACCGTCTCATCAATAATAATACCAGCGGAGGCAATCTCGTAGTCGAAATCAATGGGCGCAAGGGTTGTGGTTTTGGCCACCGCTGTGTCTGATTTGGAGGGTGTATAAATATGCGTCTCCTTGAGCGGCAGCGTAAAGCTATTACTGCTGCTGCAGCTGCTGTTGGTAACCTCATGCAACTGCTGGCTGCTGACTGTGGGTGGAGGTGGCGGTGATGGTGATGGCGACGGTGACTCTCTCAGATCAAGCTGCTGCTGCTGCTGAGAGAGTTGCTCAGCGTCGTCGAAGCCGTGGCCATTGCCGTCTGTTGATAGAGTAGGCGATAGCGGCGCTGTTGCTGCTGCAGCAGCAAATACTGATGATGTTGCTGGGGCGTCATCAAGGCAGGCGGCGGCGGGCAAGGCGTCAGTTGCTTCATCGGAGCTGCAGTTGGCGTCGTTGGTCGCGCCTTGCCCATAAGCAGAGCTAGGCTGCGCTTGAGCTTGGCCCGTCTCTGTTGCTGCGGTGGCTGCGTCAAGTCCTGTGAACCACACAAAAGATCAGCATTAATATGGCGAAATCAGTAATAATATTTGGCATATACAAATGCACAACATTAGTACTAAAATGCTGGATTGACGAGTGCAGTAGTTGGATGTGGGGGGGTGGTAGTGTTTGGCAGCGAGAGGTAACAAGAATTGAGGAGAAATAGTTGGAGTTGCAAAGACTTTAAGAAAGAAAAAAAAAAACAGTATAAAAAACAGTTCACACAACTACAACACGGAGCACGGAGCCAACGAAACTTACTAAGATCCAGCAAGGCGCAGTGAGCAGTAAAATAAGTGTTTGTTGTTGTTGTTGTTGTGGTTGTTGTTGTTATTGCATGATTGTTATTGTTGCGGATGGTGGCAAAATGTGTAACAAAATTGTGCATATCATTGTCATTGGCATAGGCATAGGCATTGTTGTTGTTGTTGTGGTTGATTGTCATATTGTCATTATCATTATCATTAAGTAGTTCCATCAGTGGCAGTTGCGCATCCAAGGCATCGTGAATATTGTTGTTGTTATTGTTGACGTTGTGGGAGTAGTTAGAGGTAACAAGATTTATTTTATCAGCATTAGCCACCATCGTTTCTTGGTCTATTTGTTGTTGTTCCAATTGTAAAGTCTGTACATGTGATTCTAAATACAATTTATCATAAGGATAAATTTGAGTACAAAAATGTTGGGCACAAGAAACAAGTGAAAATAACGGTATTTTTGCTCTTTAATACCCTTGCAGAAGTTAAATTCCGAATCAAGTCTCAAATCGAGCTGCAAAGCACCGTGTGTTTTTGTATTCTTTTCGATATAATTAGGGTATAAAAATCTATTCCTGCAAGTGATATAACATAATGTCTAACCACTATAAGCTGTTAGGGTATTGTAACTAGCTTTTGGACGATATCATATGTTTATGGTTTTGAAATAAATAATTCCAATATAATTTGTAGGTTTTTCTATACGGTATAGCTAATATTTTTCTAGAACTCATCTGCGCCCGATTCGGTTCATAAGTGAACAATTTATTGTTTTGTGTAAAACATTTGTAAAAATATCGCATGCTGTTCTAATCTCAACCTTGAGTTAACAGAAATATTTAAAAAGCTTAAGGCATTTAGTTAAATAAAAGTGTTTCGCAACAATCTTTTGAATTATATCTGCAAGGGCATGACAACTTCGGTCTACCGAAGAGTTAACAATTTGCAAGAACCTTTTATTAAATGAAAATAAGGAAAACGCATGTAAAACAAAACGAAAGAGAGAAAGAGCAGCCAATAAACGGCAGGCCAATTGTTTATTCAGTTGGAAAGCGAAAGCAAGTGGATCAACAAAACTGTCTCGGGAAAGAGCGAACGAGAGGCGGTGGCAATTTTGGTTACGAGAATCGTGTGTAGCGGTTAATTTGCGGCAACTAAGTAGTGTAGGGTGTGCAATGTGTCTAGAAACTTACCCGGAAGTGGCTGCTGATTGGAGCTGCTGGTCGTGGGCCGCCAGCTAGTCATGGGCGCCTGTTGGGAGTCCAGCAAGGAAGGATTCGGTCCAGGCGCTGCAGACAACGGTTTGAGTGGTTTTAGAGGATCGAAGCTCAAATTGGCCGCAAATCGGGGCATAGATGAGTTCCACTTGTCGCCAAAGAGCTGCACGTAAAATAGGGATTAGCTTCAAAAAACAAAAGTATAGAGTTGCACGTACAATATTACGCGAATCAATGGCCAGTGAGCGCACCAAGGAATGTCGCATCTCTGAGTTGGCCCACTGATAGTCTAGAGCGTGCGCCTGCTCAATGGCACCGAAATGCAATGATTGCGTCTCAGCTAGCGGTGCGTGCTTGGTTGCAGGCTGCTCACAGCTCGACTCAAGATTGGGAAACATAATCTCCAGCACTGGCTTCACACGCTCGGTAATGCTTAGATGTGCAACAGCTGGCGGTGGTGGTTGCGGTAGCGTGGGCGCCGCTGTTGCAGGAGCGGACTCAAATGATGGCTCCGCAAAGTCACCGAAATCATCTTCATCATCTGCGGCTGCCTGCGTTGGTGCAGCTGGCGTTGCGGGCGTGACAAAATCCTGAAAATCATCAAAGCCATCATCCTGACTGGTGGTCGCCACTGGCTCCTCTGGCTCAACCACCATTGGAGCTGCAGCAAAGTCCGCAAAGTCGCCAAAGTCATCATCTTCTGCTTGAGCCTTAGCCTCAGCCTCGTCTTTATTTTCATTTGTTTCATTCTGCGGCGTTTCTGTAAAAGCTGATTCGCGGAACGCAGCAAAGTCAGACTCAGGCCTCGCGACAGGCATTTGGTTATGCAACGTAGGCGCCTGCTGAGTGGGCGTTTGCACAATCTCTATGGCAAAAAAGTCAGCGGCACCCTCGGGTATGAATAATTCTTTGGGTTTCTTTGGCGAACACTCCTCGTCGCTATCGTCGGACACATCCTCTAACGTCACCTGGTGACACACTGAGGGCGCTTTGGTTGCCTGCTCATCAGCTACTGGCGATAAGGTGCTGAGAGGCGTAACACTTTCACTGGAGTATAGACTTAGGCTGTCCAGTTTAAGCGAGGGCACATTATCATTGGTATTGGCTTCCTCCTCCTTCTCCTCCGTTTCCACCTCCAGCTGCTGCTCTGCCACGTTTGCAATTTCATCATGCCCCTCAGTGGCAGCTTCCACATCATTGCCTTGTGGTGCTGATATTTGCTGCTCCTTTGCCATATCAAAGTCGGGTGATTTCACCTGGTAATTAAAAGCCTCCGCTGTAGCTGCCACTATTTTAACAGAGCCATTGCTTAGATCGAGCGGCAGCGAGTGTGCGTTGTACTCTGCTGATGATATGGGCAATTCTGGCAGCGGTGGCACTGTAAGGGAGAGGTGTACTTCGTTAATAAACTTAGAGTAGAGTAGCTATAAAGAGCAATTACCTTTTGCATTAAGCGCAGCTTCGTTCGTGTCGGTGACTAATCCATACTCAGAGTATTCGTCAGCGTCGCCGTCTTCCAAGTGGAGTGTAGATTGCAGCCCCGAATCGTCATCGTCCTCACCAAAGTCAATCGGGGGTGGGGTGCTGCACAAGAGTGGCGGCGGTACATTTACCATTTTTTTGTGTGTCCTTTGTTCCAATTTCTGGCACTTGTTTCTGTTGTTGTTGTCGTGCTAATTTGGCCAACAGCAGCTGCAAACACTTCAGGAACTGTCGCGCTGGTCGCTGTGACGTTTTCAACCCGTTTACCTACGTATGTGTATAAGTTCTTGTGTGTGTGCGAATGTGTGTATTTGTGAGCCCACTCAAGGTCTGTGCTGGAATTTTTTTGCTTGACTTTATGTTACACACACGCGTCGACTTGGGGCTTTAAGTGTATTACTTATGTGTCACTTGCGTAATGATTTTGGAATAAAAAATATAAATCAAACGTTTTTATGTGTATAATTCGCCATGTTTTTAACAAAACATATTTTTTCCAGGCTTAGTTCTGACATTCAGACCTAGAGATGTGTGACATGTCACGAGCCACGAGTCACTATTGCAGACGAGTACCAAAAGTAACCGACTCATAAGCAAAATGCTTGTGAGTTAAAATTACAAAAATACATTGAAATAATTTAAATATATTCTTTAAAATGCATTTAGTTCCTTTCCTAAGCCAAGCATAGTAATATAAATGTATTGAACTGGTCACAGCAAATGTTAAATCTCCATACAACCGCACTCAATCAAAATTGTTTGAAACGTGAAAGCTGCTATTATAACTGTTATTTCAAAAACAAACCTAACTGTGAATCAAATGTTTTCAAATACATAAATTTGTGCACATTGTATTCAAATTAATGTAAAATACATTGTCCAAATAGAGCAAACTGTATTTTACAACACTGGGACTTTCGATATTTAGTATATCGATTGCGTTCTTGTCAGTCTGACAGCTGCTTTAAGGTTATACTACTATTGTAGTGGACTTGAATTCGTAAAATTTATTGGTAAATATGCGATATAAAACAATATATTGGTTTATTTATTTCGCACAAACGAAATGAGTTGCCAGTTCGCATTTGTATTTAACTCAGACAACTGACGCATTCCTTTTCCTTGCAGATATTAGTCTGCTCATTACATAACTAACCAGCTATGTCTCAGGCTCCAGTTCGTGTCTCGCCGCTCATCAAGCTCGGAAGATGGTCCTTATTGATTGTAGGCATTGCCTATGGTGCTGCCCATCAAAGCCGGCTGTCAAAGAAGGAGGAGAAGGTGCGCGAAATTGAAGCCCAACAGAAGGCCGTTCGCGATGCCAAACTGGCCGAGGAGAAGAAGCGCAGCGCTGAGGCCGAGGCTAGGGCTCTGGCTGAGCTGTCGAAGCCCAGCTCCCATTAGAACGCAACTTTCGTTTCTTTAAGTTTATTGCTACCACAACTGTTCGCAACATAATCAGAAAACCAGGCAATAACAACAACAGCAAAAACAACAACCAAATTCCATGGGGCGCAAGCGATCGGACAGTGTTGCTCTTAGACTATCGAATTATCGATCGTGTTTGTGTGTTTATCTGAAGTTTGTCTAAAATTGAGCAAATTAAAAAAAAGTAATTATGTAAAACATATAATAGTGAGCTGTTTATTATGTATTTCAGCTGGCCTTTTTTCAATGAAAACCTCTCGTGAAAGACATCGCATCGTCTTTATTTAGCTATCTCCTCTTATGGCTCCATTTGCTATTATCCGTTTCTCTTTCGCACTGCACTGCTGCACTTTGTGAAATTTGTTCTGATAAGTTTTGTTGAATCAATAATTATTCGCTGCCAAGGCGATAATTTATAGGTGTTGAGACATCTTACGTGTTGGGGTCACACGCAAGTCATATAATTCAAATGCCAACACTCGGTTTGAAGCGCCTACAACGATGTCGAACTTTTTGGAGCAGTTGCCCAAGCATCTGCAGGAGATTGCCGAGCGGGGTAAGAACTCGTATTGCTAGGTTTTTAATTGATCGAACCTAATGATCTCACTCAGTCAATGTGCTCACACCCGAGGCAATATTAACCACGCCTAGGATTAAGTTCATGGACACTCGTTCCTGTGACCTGGATACTTGTGTTCATAGCTGCAGTCCGGAGGATGTGCGCATTTTGAAGGATGCAGCTGCCAAGTGGCTAGCAGAAACGCCTGTATCAGGTAATGCACGGACACTGGCTTGACTGTTTATACATGGATCAACTACTTAAATTATTCGCATTATCACGCAGCGGATTCTTTATTTAAAATACCCGCTCGCTTGAAGTGGTCGCGTGTGACCTTTGGCTGTGCCGCGCTAGATCAGTGCACTGGCGGCGGTGTTTCGATACGTGGCATAACTGAAATCTGTGGAGCATCAGGCGTGGGCAAATCACAGGTGCTCCTGCAGTTGTCGCTCAGTGTGCAGCTGCCACCGAGACTAGGCGGCTTGGGCAAAGGCGTGGCCTTCATCTGCACTGAAGATGCTTTTCCATCCCGGCGTTTGCTGCAGATAAGCAAAGCATTTGAGGCACGCTATCCGGAGGAGCAGCTCAACTTTTTGGGTAACATCTTTATTGAGCATCAATACGAAAGCGTGAGTTATGCAGTGTATATCGAAGTGATCCTCACATAGCTCATCCTGTGCATTGCAGCAACCACTGCTTGAGTGCATCAGTAATCGCTTGCCGCAACTGCTGCAGGCGCATAGCATTGGCTTGATCATCATTGACTCGGTGGCAGCCATCTTTCGCCTGTACACCGACTTCGAGGAGCGTGCGCGTGATATGCGTCGCATGGTGCATGCGCTGCTCAGCTATGCGGATAAGTACGACTGTGCAGTGGTGTGTTCCAATCAAATGACTGCTACTGAAAAGGCGGATCAGAAGACTTTGGAGGATGTACCGTGCTTGGGCTTGCAGTGGGCAAATCTAGGTCGAACACGCATGCGCATATCCAAGGTGCCCAAACAGTTCAAGCAGGGAGATCAGCTGCTTACAGTGCGCAAGCTAGAAGTCATTTACTCTCCCGAGACTCCAAATGCATTTACCGAGTTTTTGATTACCGCGGACGGCGTGGTAAATGTGCCAAAGCCACGCCGACCAGACGGCAATATTAAAAGAAAACATGATTTAATTTGTTGAATTGTTTATTTTAATTTTTGAATTGAAAATATTTAACGGCTACTGATCCGCGCGTTATAGTTTTCATTGTTTTTTTTTGTACACTCACATTAAATATTTATTTGTTTTTTTTTTTTTTTAATTTTCATATATATATTAGCAATTTACACTTAGGACTGTTTCTGCTTAAACACTTGTAGTTAATAGTTAGTGTAGTTAAATTAAATTTGTAATTAACATGAATTCACCAATTGTTGTTGTTGTCGTTTTTGCTGTTATTGACGCGCTTTCTTTCACTCTACCCTTTCGTATACTTTATCACATGAAATTTTCGAAAGTTAAAATTACAATTACAATATTGTTTTTTGTTTTTTTTTTTTTTTGGATTTATTTTTAAAACAGCACATTAAACATTTAAATGCGTTTCTAATGGCAACATTTACAAAGCCTATACTTAAGATTAGTGCTTAAGCATACAAGTACATACATACATTCAATAAATTACATAAATATGCGTAAATGCCTTAAACTAACAAGCACACACATCATGTATCATTGCAAAATATAAACAAATCTTGAATGAAAGCTGGCCGTGTGCTTGAGCAATATTCGACTTTTTTGGCACAAGTTAATTTGACTGGCTAGGTGTAGGTTGTTGTGGGTTTAGGGCCTGGCTGTGTGCATTGAAGTCTAACCCATTTGCATATCGTTATCCTGCGAATCTTGTGCCTCTGTGGAGGTGCCCGGTTCGCTGGCTGTCTCCTCATCCTCCGATTCACTTTCGATTTTGGCCGATTCACTTGGCTGCTGCTTTGTGTTGGCCATGGCCACTGCAATGGATATCTTTGAGGCAGATAGCTTGCTCTCAAAGTCCATTTCAGCCAGTAACGTTTTTGACGGTGAACTGCGTCCGTTTTCCTGCGCAACTGCAGCTGCAACAGCTGCACGTTGCAGACTCAGCGCTGGCGACTCCTCCAGTTTTATGTCCAGCTTTTCAGTCTGCTCTAAAGGTGCCGCAGGCTCCACCGTTAGCGGTATGGCGTGCTGGTGCAGCCGATGGTGATGAAATGTCTCACCAATGTTGTTATTGTTGTTGTTGGCATGGCGCTTTTCAGCTGTTTTGTTGTTGTTGTTGCTATTGTTGTTATTGTTGTTGCCAGCAATCGCAGCCGAATCGCTGGCGTTAGCGCTAGCTCCATTTGCTGCTGGGCTGCTTGCGGGTTTCGCGGTCTTCTCCAGCAACGCATTCAATTGTTTTTTTATTTTGGCGTTCGTGCTCTTTGACTGCAATTTGCTGTCACCATTATTACCGTTGCCGCCTTTGGCCGGTGTTGATGCGTTGTTGTTGTTGCTGCTGCTGTTGTTGTTGTTGTTGTTGCCGCGTGACTTGTCCCCTTGGCCGTTGGACGTCTTTTTCGGTGTAGCATCCACATTGCTGGCCGTAATGGACGTTGGCTGGACGCCATCCTCAGCAGAGCCATTGTTATTGTTGTTGCTGCTGCTATTGTTTTTGGATTGTTGCTCCGCGGCTGCGGGCTTGGACGATTTGTGCTCGGCAGCTTCGTTATTTGTGACATTATCCTGCTTCTTCCACTTTGTGCGTCGATTTTGAAACCATATTTTTACCTGCAAAAAAAAATTAAAATATTAAATTACAAATACAGTGGCAAAAATTTAAGAAAAAGTCACATTGATTTGTTCATTTTAATTCTAATCAAAAGCTGCGGGCTTTTATATCAACAAGATATATCTGAAAGGGTTTGATAGGACGTAAGCTAAACGAACTTGGACCGTTTTGATTTTACGGCCAACGCTTTTTTTAGTACATGGCTCTAGAAAAGGCTCTACATAGGGTATAAAGGATATATAGGGGACATTGCAAAGATCGATGTATTTGAAGAGAAACTGTTGGCAATTTGTGACGAAAATCAAGACTCATTAATTGAGAAAATAGTCAGGAATGAAATGAAGATTGAAGAAGACTTCAGTGTTGAAGTGAAATCTTCTTGCTGTTCAAATATTTATATGTTCTATTATGCGGTTCGCCCCCAAGAACTTATGTACTACATATGAGCCAGTTGTTGTACGAGTCAGTTCGCTATAATTAGGCAATGTTTATGCCTCATTTGCCCTTATTAGTGTGCGTAAAACAAATAATTAAAAATTATGTATCGCATATTCCACTCGCTGTACGCAAACACTTCCGCTACGTCAGCTACAGTTCAAAACAAGCTAAGTTGAAATGATGTGGGCCTGTCAAAATGCAGAAACCGCCTATCATCCACTTCCATTCGTATGCCCATTCAGTGCTCACCCACCCAACATTCAATGTGCCTGTATGTGTCTGTATGTGTGTGTGTGTGTGTGTGTGTGTGTACTGTGGTGCTTTATGTTGCACAGGGCAACGGGGACGCTTCGGCAGGCAGCGTCAATGGCGCAACATAAAACATTTGCCTCTTATTTCCATTTCATCCAAAGTGATGGCCTAGCTAAATAAATGAAAAATCTATTTAAATCGCGCACATAATTAGTATTTCAGCGGCATGTCTGCAAGCGCACACACACACACACACACACACGCATACACTTTCACGATCGGAATATGAAGCAAAAATAAGCGCCAAAGATAGATGCCGTCATATGACATGCTCATTTTGCCGGCGTACCGTAAAAATGATGAAATTAACATGAATAGCAAAATAACAAAACAAAAAAAAAAAAAAGAAAATCAACAGAATTTTCCTCTACTTAGCCTCCTTCACGAGAAGAGGATAAACGCTCAAGTATACAAATAAAAAATTCGTTAATTTTCATATTGAAAATCAATTAATTGATTGCCAAATATTTCGAATTTCGAATACAGTATGCACTGAAAATAGACGCACATCATTGAAATGTACTTGTCGATGGATTGATGTGTGCGCAAATTGTTTGTTTTATCGATGAAGATGGATTATGAGGGGCTGCCAGTGTATCTACATATATGGCTGGCAGTACGTATTCCCCGTTTCGCTCGTTTTTGGCCGTAATTACACTCGGCTATATACAATTGACCAATTACTCATCCGATTGCCCGCGCCTGTACACTAATTCCTTAATAAACAATAAAATCGGCGGCGTGTTTACCTTATGAGCAATTTTAATGGCTATTCAAAGCAGCATTTTTTTTTTTTTTTTAGTTAAAATGGACTATTTTAATGGGGCTTACGCGTACTTATATGCGGGCATCTCGGCCATATTTTTCTTCCATTATTTTGGGCACATGCCGCGCACAGCTTACATTTAATTATTTGATTATTTTTAAATGTGTGTCTGGCCTAATTTAACCACTGCGTTTCTTTTAATTGCGTGTGGCATTTTTTATTGCATACATTTTGCTGATTAATTTCTTTGGCATACAAATTTTTCTAAAAGAAATTCTCAAGATACTGGTATAGACGTTTTCACTCATATTTTACTTGTACCTATCTCATAAATAAACATTTTGTTTTTCTGTTGTGATCCACTTTAAGACCTCTTTGAGCTTACCAATAACAGCCACACATATACAACATTCATACAGAAATTTCTAAAAATACAAACGAAAACTTTGTCGTCTAAAGTGAAAAGTTGTGGCTCAACCTGTGGCAAGACAAGGCTGGGGGCCGCTTCCATGCTTGTCGTTTATGATTTATTGACATTTAAATGTGTGCGGTGATTCCCTTTTCAAATGTTCGAGCAAGCGACACCGGGGGAGGGTATGGCTTAATAAATGCCAGTCAGCCAGAGCTGCCTCATTTATTTTCTTCTTCTTATATACATTTGTGTACTAAGCATTTATACTAAATATTCTTATATATATGTAAATATTAATGTGCACTAACAATTAACACAAATTCCAAAAACTTCATGTACGCTCGCTGATACTTAAATAGTCTCAAAATGGCTGCTGAACTGCGTTTTTATTGGCACGCAATGCTGTCAAGCTAAGTATGTCTGTGTGCGAGTGTGTGTTAGGTTATTTAGTATAATTAATTTTCATTTCGCATTTTCTGCACACTTTTCAAAAATAAAAACGCAAAGCAGTTTGCTGAGTTCTAGACAGTCAACGACTAAATAATACCCTTTCCTTGCTGCCGCAAGTGAGCATAACAGTACCTTTAAGACAGGGTTCAAGAAAGGATATGAGGTATGACATACGCTCTAGGGAAATACTTTCTCAATTTATGTTAATTATTGTGGCTTAATATACCCGCTGTGCCCCTTTTGGTAACGGTATAATTATGATCCAACAATGAGAAGCTAAATTGCACAGGGGCAGAATTTGGCGCTCTCGTCCCTCACGTAAATGGTAACGACTTCTTTCCACCACATTTTTGTTTTGCTTTTGCGTGCCAAGAAATATTCATCGTTTTCTTTTGCTACTCTGAACAAATTATGTTTTAATGTGTAATTTAGCATATCTCGTTAGTTAGTTTCATTCGATGATAAAAAGTTAAGATAATTTCTTGGCTTTTTTGCCTGAAAGGCTCATTTTGCTTGGTGAGAAAGATAGTTAAGAGTTAAGAATAAATCCATGAGGCAATATTATAGAATACCTAGCTATTAGCTGACCGGTTCCATAATATCTTGAGTGGAGTTCAAGTTCCTATGATATATTTTACATAATTGAAAATGGATTTGAAGTTCATAGAATTAAGAAACAAAAGTTTTAATTAACGTTCAAGCACTAGAGAATATTTTGTCTTCGACTTGTCTGCCAATCTTAGCTTAATCGTGTCAATCTTAACCCAAGAGCAAGTTTGTGCCCAATGGCAATTATGCAACTGGAAACCAAATCAAATATGTAGCTGGAGCAAACAGACAAATGAAGCCAAACAGCCTTAATGCAGCCCTCACCTCGCCTGCCATAACCCCATCTGTGCACTCGGATATTGCTGTGCAGTAAATCACTTTGTTCCATGCAAATATGCGCACTGCAATGACATTATTAATTAATAACATAATCACTGGGTTGGTTGTCAGTATACCCTGGATACGAGGTAAAGCGGGTATGCGAATTAAAAGGATATAACTTTTATTTCATTTTCATAGCTTAGTTAGTATTTATCATTAGAGCATATTTTAATCAACTGAATACGATTTGTACGATATTTTCCAAGTCAATAAAATATTTATATATTCAATATCATTGCATACTTTGCTTTACTGAGTATCAGGCTATTAAAAGCATTTTGTGTAATGCTATAGAATCATATATCATTTCAGTTTGCATCCCCTTAATAGAAGTGGAAATCAATACGGGTATCTATTGACATATTTGTACAGAACATCTGTGAGTCGGTTATCCAAGCGATACCTCTTAGCTATTTAGGATTATGCTCACCGTATATGCACACATAAGCAAAGTGATGTGTGCGTGTGCGTGTGTGTGTGTGTGTACGTGAATGAGAATATTTGGTTCAATTTGTTTTGCGATTATTAATTAAATAGACTTAAATGCAACTGCTGCCAAAATGCGTAGTGGCAACAACAATCGAATGACCAGCAGGCAGGGCCGGATGCCCAAGCATCACTCCCCTCTCACACTCCCCCAGCGGCCAGCTAAATTATCGCTCTGTGTATTTTGGGCGGCGGCTGTTGCTAATGAACGAAAATGCTGACCAAATTGCAGTTAATACCATTTTATGCAACATATTTTATGTGTAATGTGAAATAATTATGCATAGCTCCGTTGTTGTTGCTGCCGCTGCTGCTTCTGTTTTAGTTGTTTGTTTTGGCATTATTATCTATAGTACTCGTACCATAAATTTGGCTGCGTGAACAATTTCAAAGCCACACTGCAGCAGTCAAAAGCAAAGCAATTGAATAAATATTTACTTTAGCAACAACAAACATTTTTTATTGCCATTAGTTTGCATTAGTGTGCGTATTGCGGACTGCAGCTAAATGAATTCCAATTGCAGCCAGTCGCTAAAAGCGGAAACTGTTTCAGATTTGAAGTCATGTGTGAAATTAAAAAGCAAGCGCAATGCAAATTAGAAAGAATTCTTCAGGCTGGCAATAATCGGCGCTAAGATATCCATTAAAAGGGGTAACAAATCAATGTATCTACGTAACTATAAGAACATTTCGTTGCTCCAAACTTTTTATTTAGTTGCATATATAGCTTTATATACACTGCTGACTCCAAATGTATCTTAATTTTTATGGAATTAGGAAAAACATGCTGTAGAAGGTGTACATATATACACAGATATTTGATCAGTAGAGAATTGTTGAAGTCATTTTCCATCATGATCATAAATGAATATTTAATATATCAGAGACGTATTCCTTTTATAGGTCCCCACTTTTTTCCCCAGAGAATCACCTGATTCGAATGATCCTGCAATTAAGATCTTTCTCGCACGCATCTTAAAAACAATACAATTATTTTATAATTTATATTTATAATTTAATTTATAATTATAATAATATGAGAGCCCGGATACACCGTGTTCTGTTTTGAGGACATTTCACAATTAACTAATACCCTTTTCAGCCGTTAGCTTGGGCATAGATTATAGAATATATGTTAGTCCGAAAGTAAAAGCCTGGCATAAATGAAATTAATTAGTAATAGCGAGTTGGCTAACACTTCTGGG